TTTGGGAATCTCTGCGCCCTTGATTGATCCATCCCTCTGTGTGCCTTCTGTTGGTGGAGCTAGTTGTCATAGGCAGCACTAGTGAGTATAGTTTCCGTTAGCTAATGTATGAATGGTTTGCCTTGGGGAAAAAAAAAAAAAAAGTTCTTCTGTAAAGTCTCAGAAGTGAGAAAACTTGAATTCAAAGTAATAAAAGTTACTAATTTTGAGTGTGCATAGTATCTTCCTGGAATGGAACATCTCCTGGGTTATTAGCAGTGTCTGTAGGAGAGAACGGTTAAAGTTTGTTTGTGGTAGTGTGGTTTAATGGGTTTTGAAATCCTTTTCTTTAAAGCTAATTTTTTCTCCAAGTAGTGTCTTTAAATGATTCACTAAACCTTATCAGGTGATTTTTGGAGATACAGCCTGGCTCATTGGTACTTGCACTGTGTATAAAGAATGGTTTTGAGTCCTTATTTCATTTACTGTAGATATTGTGAATCTTCCTCTCACTCTTCCACATCTCTGTTGCCAGGCATCGCCCTAGTTTTTGGAGACCTGACACAAATGTGCTCCGAGTGAGAGAGTTTCCATTCTCTCATTCCAGGGATGCCGTTTCCTTGGCACAGATGTCTGGGAACACCCTTTGCTCAATCTCTGTCTGCAAGAGTATACTAAGCGCTTCTTAAAATGCTAACTCTGCTGATTGAGCAATGTAGTTGTTTGTGCATAGCTGACACTTTTTCTGTGGATCACATGGGGGTTTTTCTGCTGTAATGTAGGTGAGCTGCCCTTCGGAATCGAGATATGGGTCTGCTTTTAAACACACGCTCTTCTGACACCAAACAGTTGTGGGGATAAGGTACTGAATATAGACCAGATCCAATATAATAACAGATTGCAAACCAGTGATGACGGGGGGGGTTGAGGTCAAAGCAGATGCTATCTCATTTATTAGAATAACATTATGATTCAGGATTATGTAGTTTGGATTTAGGAGGAAAACTGGTTGTAGAAACTTGCCTTAAGGTGTTGAAGTGTTAGTTTGCAGCTGGAAGGTAGAAAATTATTTTTTTCCAGTGTAAGGAAGAACAAGTTAGTGCAAGTATTTTCTATTTACATGTTCGAACCTACCCAGAACTTGTCAAAACTACATCAGATAAAATCAGTGCATCAGAGAACAGTGAGAGTCTGTTCTCAAATATGATTGCCTTACAAAGCAGGGTGTGACAAAAGATGCATTTGTTCTCTGAGATCCATCTCTGCAAAGATTCGTGCAAAAGCTCCCATTTTTTTCTTTGCTAGCTTGGTGCTGATGGGCGGTTGGTTGCTATAGCATTGTTATGTGCTGATGATATGAACCTCCCAGTTCCAGCTCTACGTGAGGGTGTGTTAGTTCTGTTCCTGGACTCTGTTCAAGTGTTTTGTTCCAACAAGCCTGATTCAATGTGATTTTTAATTGATTTACAAACAAGAGTCTTGCAAAAAGCTGCTCAGTGGTTGTTTTGTGAAAGATTATACCACAATTGCTTTGCTTCAGCTTTCACTGGTGTTTTTTATTTCTTTGTGACAAGCAAGACTAAAGGACTTCGGTTGTTCATCTTTGGTTGTAATACTATCAGAGTACAAAGGTCTCGTTGTTAGGCACTTCATTTTATTAAGAGTAAACATTAAGAATTTCATAACTCAGTAATATATCATCCCCTCTAACTGGCATGGTTAATAGTGCCGATAGCAGCTTATTACAATTTCTGCAGCCTTTCTTTAGAGGGTTAGGTTGGATTTTTGCTCTGAAAAAGATTTATTCTCAAGTAAGTTGGTGCATGACTGTGATTTTCATTCTCGGTCTTATTTTTCCTCCCCTGCGATCGGAACTTCTCCTTGAAGTAAAGTTGCTTTTGTTACTTGTGCCTAGGTTGCTTCAGAAGATTATAGATTTTCTTTCTGTGTTCTAAGTAAAAAAGGAAAGGTATGATTACAGCAGTTATGCTATAAAAGCCATCTAATTGTGTTTCTATATTTTATTCTTATAGCAGTTGCTATATCTGCTAAAAGTAAGGGTTTCTCTGCTTTTCTCATGATATATGGGAGGTTGACAGGAGCTGAAACAAAAATTAAACACTGTTCTAGGGTCTTAACCAGATCTCTGTTATTAAGAAACTATTTCAAACTGCTTGCTGGCTCTCTGAGCTCTCGGTTTCAGGTCGATCATTGAGTGGAGAGGAGTTTGGTTTGTCTGGGAAATTTGCCTGGGCAGCTAGTACTGCTTGCCTGAGAAAGCCCCAGTAGCATCAGAACAGTGACTGATGGAGGATAACAACAGAATCTGAAAACCAGTTGAAAGGACGTACCCAGGACTGGCTGTGCAATAGCTGGGAGTTGGCTTGGAGGGCATGGCAGCTGGGAGCTAGACTGGGGGAACCGGTAACAGCATGGAAGTGAAGGGAGTGGCACCCAGTGAGGCTGCAAATTGTGCAATTTTTGTTCCAGGCTCAGTTAGAAGTGAATGGAACGTCACTGGTCTCAAGGTGTTGCTGACCTTTCTCTCCTACCTCTCATCAGGGCAGCTCTTTTCCCTGTTTGATGATACTATCTCTGCAGCTTGATTGTGGAGTTCCTGAGAAACAAGCTTTAATTTCAACAGGCAAAATAATGTTTGCTGCAGGTGCCAGCCTGTATGACTAGAAGGTAACGTGAGTGGCAATGTCTGTCCTTTCACTGGAGGAATTTGAGAGCAGAGTTCTGGGAATGTTTCAAGCCTCTTAAATATTGCCTCTGGCTTATAACCTTTGGAAAAAATTTCCTCTGTAGTTGAGAGACCCTTCCAATAAAACAGTAATACAGCTCTGGCACACTTCCCTGACCACAAACCAGAGTTGAGAAAAGGCAGGATGTTGTAACACAAGGATTATCACATCAGTGTTCATTTCTGCAGTGTGTATTATCTATCTCAGGGTTGGGTTTTTTCGCTGTTTTTCCTTGTGTAAGTTAGCAAGATGTTATGCAGGTTCTGGCAATGGAGCAGTGATACCGATTATCTTGCCTCAGTGGCTCTTAGTTCTGGAGCTATAATTTTAAGAGAGTCCTCGTTACCCGGTGTCCGACTGACAGCCCTGTTACTGACTGGTGTTCATAGATTGTCCTGTGGTTCTTGTTACTGGGCTGCCACTACAAAACCATATCGTGTTAGAGGCATTTGTGGCCCGTGTCCATGATTAAAGGTTGAACAGCATTATGATTTTATGAAATGTCTGCATGAATATAAATAGTTTCAAGGTATTGCATGAGAACTTGAGGAACTGAGCATCTGAAATAAGTGCTACTACTTGTTGCTTTTCGGCTTTGAGATGGACCCAGGTTATAATCTTTCTGCACAATTTTCCTGGTACAGAGTTGTAGACTTAGTTGATTCTTTGTCTAAGGTAGAGATTCCCCAGTTCCTAAGTTTAAGTGTTTAAAAGGCAAAATAATTTTTTTTTTAATGAGTAAAGATAAATTTTTATTGTGCAATAGAATGAAGACCTCTCACTGTTGCATTATTAATGGTGGTGTGGCTTGGAAACTCGTAAATCAGCTTTCTTGATTGGGATTAGCAGATGCATTGGGCTATTTCACTTTCAGTGCTGCAGTGTTTCAGAACTGTAACACACTGATGTAATTGTAAATATATTTAACTCTGCCTTTTTTTTTTTTCCCCTCTTCCTCTAGCATTCTTTCAAGATGTCTACTGTCCATGAAATTTTAAGCAAGCTCAGTCTTGAAGGAGATGTAAGTAGTATTATCTAAACAGGAAAAATGTGTTTTACTTAAATGCCACAGCTTGTTTCTTTTACAGGACTCTCTACCAACAATTGTACTGAGCTGTACAGTTTGCAAGATTCCACACATCTCTTCCCCTCTTCCTCCAGCATTCTTTCAAGATGTCTACTGTCCATGAAATTTTAAGCAAGCTCAGTCTTGAAGGAGATGTAAGTAGTATTATCTAAACAGGAAAAATGTGTTTTACTTAAATGCCACAGCTTGTTTCTTTTACAGGACTCTCTACCAACAATTGTACTGAGCTGTACAGTTTGCAAGATTCCACACATCTCTTCTACTTAAAGAAGAGATCAGCGGTGATCAGTTTTCAGCCTCAAAGCAGCTGCAAACCATAGGACAGTTGTATGAGACGACTAGATTTGATGATACTTCTTCTAACTGGCCAGCAGCATGGGCAGTGTTCCATGTGCTGGGCCATATGAGAGAGGTCACAGGACAAACTGAACATCTAGTTTGTATCTGTGGTCCATCTTTCTTCTAAAGGAACAAGAGAGTTAAGGATGATAAGAGAAGATGGAAATGTGTTTGGTTTTGCTGATACCTTCCAAGTTGTCTTTTCATTTTCTTCACTTTTCAATTAAAAATGGAGAGCATGACTTAATTGGAATTAAAATATTGAGGATCTTATTCCTATAATGGTTGTCACCAGAACCAAACTACCTCTTGAAAAACCTAATTTTCTCAAACTTCTTTTCTCATTTTCTCTTTCAAAAAGCATAAAGAATATTGGTTTTGATTGTGTATTTTCCACCACATCTGCACTTGTTGGATAGTTTTACTGAAATACCGGAAAGCCACACTCTCTTTGATTTCTTACGTTGCAACATTAGATGGTAGGTTACCAGTGTGTCAGGATATCACACCATGAATTTGTGGTTCTGTGATTGTCACTGAAGAAGAAGTGAATCCTACCCATGCATATTTTCATTGTGTTGCTTATAAACCTGTTATACTTTTATATTTTATAGCCAGTAACTCCAGATCTGAGCTCAGTACAAGCAAACTTTTTGCCTATTTTTGTTACTTGTTGTGAAATAAATTGTACCATATGATCTTTGTGAAACAGCTGTTGCAGAGAACTGGCTAGTGCACTGTAGGTAAGTAACAAAACTGGTATTGCACTGCAAAAGCAGTCAGCTCTTCAGATTTCTTGGCCGTGTCTGTTTCAATGGAGAATTACTTTTGGAGTAATACCTGAGCAATCTGTTCTCGAGGGCAGAAATGTTTATTCCATGATGCTTGTGAGTAGTTGCAAAAGTCAAATTTGACTCCTGCTCCATGCCAGCGTTTTCACCAGAAATCCTGCCATAGTGTGCAAGAAATATCAGGCAGCTGGTTTGTTCAGTAGATCCTTAGTTGGAAGCCAGAATTATTGAGTAGCTAGTTTGCATAAAGGGTTTGCTCGGTTCCCCTAAGCAATGATTCAGCAAGTTGACTGACGTTAAACATAATATTTCAACCACCCATTTTTCTCAAAAAAAAAAAAAAAGTTTTTAACCTTGAGGGTATAGAATAGTCACAGCTGAATCCAAGACCTGTTTTGTGCAATAAGGAATTTGTACATTCTGCCTCAGTGGTATAGCGATTGATTTGTTTCAAGATGAAGAAACTGCCGCTATTAACTGGCCTGCGTGCTTCAGCCTGGTACTATTTTCTCCTTCCTTTAAGAAAGGGGAGGGAGTTGAGCTGGAGTTAATCTCTGCTTGCAGTTTCTGCATCTATCCACAAGAGACTATAGAAGGATTCTGTAACAAAGATGTTGCTGTTGTTCTTCATCATATTCTCTATCTTTGCACTGGGAATGGGAAGCCTGTATTTTAGTCGAGACTTCATAGGTTACTTGCCGGATGATGTCAGGTTACTCGGTTTTCAAACATGAATAGTGATTTTTTTGAGGACAGGAAATACTGAGATGTAGATATCTTGAAAGGGTCCTGTTCTTTTTAGAAGAAATAGAGCCTTCTCAGCTTCCCTGTTAGTGATCTGTGCTTCTCCCTCATGTTCTGCTCTTGCCAATTGGATTGAAATCATCAGGTGTAAAAACCAGTTGGAGGACCTCTGAGGCATGCTAGATATGTGGGGGGGAAAAAAAACCTGTTTCTCTGCTTTAGTCTGGCTGAAACTCCTCATGGAGTTATACACTAGCTGCGCTTTCACTGCCATGTCCTGGAAAATTTTGTATTGAACTAAATGGAAAGTCAGTTGGAAAAGCTCTCTTGTCTGAAAACACATAGTACCAGCACTACGGTGTACCAGGGCAGTGTGAGACCATGTAGTCTGGAATTTCAGTGGCTGTTTTTCATAGGCAGAATAGTCACCCTGATGAGACCTGTGTCTACTCTACTGAAGTACTGGAGGCAGTCGCCTGAGAGACTAAAGTGTAATCTTTGTGGGTGCTGAATTTGAAGACGGTCCATTTACTGGTAGAGCAGCCAGCGAAAGGTTTCTGTCGTTCCTGGGCATACGTATGTACATGGCGCTTGCTGGGTCTTTTGACCAGTGTCAGGGGATCTGAATCCAACTTGTTGTGTGCCTTGGGTGGAAGGACAGAGGAAAAGATGGCTCCCAAATTGCAAATATGCTGTGTATTTTCTCAGTGTGTGGTATCATGTTATAGTAAAATACTCTGTCCAAAGGACTCAGAAAATACTTGGAGCTGGGTGGAAGGAGATGTACCCAGCTCTGCTAAACTCACCAGGTGACTTGCTTCAGATTATCCAGCAGTGCTGGTTAATTAGATAGAAATGCTGTATGATTGCCTATACTAATGGGCTTTGGTTTAGGAATCTTTTGGGCACACGGATTTTTCTGAGGCTGCATTGCACACCTCCATTTGCTGTTTCTGCTGGTAATTGAGTCTGCTAACGGCTGTTTTGTGGTGTGGCTGTGGGCCAAACTGGGGCCACTATGCTGGATGGAGCTGATGGGAAGAGACAAGAGAAAGAATGGTTCAGTTGATCAGTGCTTTTTTGACTTCCCACCTCCGCACCGTAACACAGACTGTCGCAGGAAGGCACAGTGGTTGCTGCCAGAGGAACCTATTCAGGACAGTGTGATCTCTGCAGAATAGAGGCAAAGGTAGTAAAAAAACATGGAATTTTTTTAGTTAACATTTGTCCTCCTTTTAACAATTTGCATGTAAAAAGATCCTCCAGGGGTATTAAGATAGCTTTGTCCTGTTTATGAACCTGGTGCTCTGTTGGTGTCAGGAACCAAAACAAAAGTTTCCAGGGATCTTTATCAAGAAAGCTTAGTCGTTTGTTCACTGAGGAAACAGCTAGGGCAATTTCAGGTGTTAGTCACTGCACCTTGCTGCCAGAGGTTTAGGTCTCTAAATTGAACTCAGCAGAGTGGGATTTGTGAATATTTCTCAGCTGTTTGTATGAAAAGCTGTGGTTTAGCTGAACCTGCCTGTGGAAGGCGATACAAGCTAAGCTGTTAGCTTGCACTGAAGCAGCTGAGAAGAGTTGATTCTCTGTTCTGGTGGCCTCCTGTTGGAAGCTACAGTCCTCAGGAGAGGACGATAATAAACAGCCGATAAAATCTGATAACTTCAAAAATGTTACTACTGCTTATTAAGTGAACTTACCTGCAAGTCTTCTTAGTAGAGGTAATTTGAAATGTCATTTGGTTTTGTTAGCCTCGTGGTGCTTAAACCAAGTATCTGCAGGCATAGAATTCCGAAAGGAGATTGTAATTACTTTTTTTTTTTTTTAAGTGTAGCCTGTAATCCAAAGTAAAGTATGGGCTTCACATCTAAAATCCTTCAGACTTTGACAGCAGATACTTCAACTTTCATTTGACTTAGCTTTCTTTGGTCCATTTCCTTCAGATCTATCCAGAAAACTCTAGATTTTTAGAAGGTTAAGGTTGTTGAGGAGATTTGGAATGGGTTAGGCTTTTGCTGCGGTAATATATAATCTATTTGTATGTATTTTTTGTTATAATAAGTGTAACTGTGAGTGGATTTCTGGACAGTACTCCTCAGGAGAACAGAGTTTGGTGGCTCTTAGCAGAATTCAGTTTTCACAGATACCTGATATTTTCTTGTATTTAAAAAATTGGCTAAATACCAGCTAACCAAGAGGTACCTGTTTTATTAACTGCAGCAAGGACAGGATTGCATGATTTAATTTTGAAATTGGTTTTCTTCTTTTTCTTGTAGCATTCTCTCCCACCGAGTGCATATGCTACAGTTAAGGCCTACTCAAATTTTGATGCTGACCGGGATGCTGCAGCCCTGGAAACAGCCATCAAGACCAAAGGTGAGGAAAATGTGCCGTGGCTTTGCTTCTGCTGGTAAGACGGAATGCTGGCATGCAAAAAAAAAACCAGAAAGCAGCATCTCAGGACCAATGTTCTCACATCCTTACTCTTGGATACCTATTTTAGGAGATGTGGATTTCTCAGGTGTCACTGATGAAATCTTGACAGAGTTAGATTTTGAACTCTATTAACGCGTGCTTTAGAATGTGCTTTTGAAGTTTGTAGCCAAGAGTTGTTGAGCTTATCACTGAAAATGTCTGCTTTTTTTTTTCTCTTGACTCATTAGTACTTCAAATTCTTCTACTTTTCTGCCACTGAGAAAGAAGTGTCAACTTCTGTGGCAGTGATCTGAGACCAAGCTCTGAATCATGGATTTCTTCTTGATTATTGGATTGGATGCTTCTTCTTCCTTTCAGCTCTCCAGACAGCTGAATATGGATGGTTTGAATATTTTCTCCTGGGTTTTGAATTAAATGCTTGCGTATCTTGTATTATTATGGAGTCAAAGAAAGTCCTAGAAACAATCTAGTTTCTGAAATGATGTTGCAGTGTTTCAGGGGCAGGGCAGTGTGAGAGCCCTCCGCTTCCCTGAGCCAGGCTCTCAGGTGGGCTTCCATCTCCTTAGATCAGTGTGGGGATCCACCACTGCTGCTGACTGATAGGAGACCATGGTGGAACAGGGGACAGATGCAGCTGCGTGGAAAAGCCTGGTGTACTGCAACAATCCAGAGTACAGGCAGTATGAACTACAACTCTGGTATTAACCTTGGTGGTACTCCCAGGGCAGTGATCCTCTGTCCTTGTCCTGCTCTGTAACAAAGAAAGGGTCTCTAGATTTCTTCCCGGCCAGAGAAGCAACAGCTGGGCGTAGCTTTTGCGTAGATGTTAGGAGAGGGAGAAATTTAAATGCCAAACAGTTTCTCATTAGAAAGAAATGCAGAGTCTTCCATCAGTGCCAACAAAGCACATGTTTGACTTGCTATAAAATGTAAAATATTGCCCCTCCCTAACAAGCATGAGGCTTCCTTTTGCAAGATTTATTAATTTAACTGGAGAAATCCCCTGTCTGCTCATGAGAGTAGGTTCAGTTCTGATTTTGAATCATGTTATGGTTTGGTTTTATTTTAAATAAATCCTCTTGCAAGAGAGGAGTGAATGTCATCGTGTTTGGCAGGAGATGCTTTGTGTGTACCTAGAGTTTTGTCTGGGCTTAATTTTTTCATCTCTGATTATAGCACAAAAGTAAACATGTCACATATACCATCAGGCTTTCAGGATGGGTACAAATTTACACATTTTCACACTCAAGCTGTTATTTTATGCGAAAGGAAGTTGCAGTATCCTTGGCAGTACAAAAGCTTTTCCAGTCAGGAAAATAAAGCTCGTGTCGTTTTTTCACTTTCTTCCAACAATGGTAAGCAGTTTGCTGAGTTGGTTTTTAAGATACGTGGAAACATTTCGTTAGAGAGATATTCCCAACCCTTTGAACAAATAATAGGGAAACTTATTCATCAACCTGCGTGTTTGTAGGATTGAGTTTATCTCTGCTTATTAGCTTGCTATCGAGGAGCTTTTTTGGGAAGGTGGCCTTAAAGGGGACAATCTCTTTGTTTTTAATACTGAATCTTCCACCGTTAAAACTCTCAAAGGAAGTATTCTTGGGGGAAATAAAGAAGAAGAGTGTTAGGACCCATCTTTCAGGTGCACTTTGAATACTTGGTTACAGGAGCTTTTAATCTACTAATTTAAAAGATTTGCTAAGATGTGAACTCTCTAAAACACATTTGGGGTTTTTTTCAAATGAAAATTCTGAATCATCCAGACACAAACTGGTTTTCTACAAACACTGATGTAAACAGCTACACAGGGAAATTCTTCTGCAGGAAAACATTTTAAAATATTTATGGGAAATATCTTCATAGTTTTTGAGCCAAAAATGTGACGCTCATAATGAACAAACAGTAGATACCCACAGCAGCTACCTGTTTCCCTAGGAAGCATCACTGATTCTCTAGCAATTTGCATTGTATGCGGAAGGTAGAAATAAGCAATATAAGCTATCTTAGAATTGTGAAGAGTGATGTGACTTGTTCATCTCGTTTTAAGGCAGTGAGAGAAACGTAACAGGTTGTAAATACATCCGCAAGCTGTTTTACAGGTTGAGGTGGTCAGTTCCAAAAAAACATGGACGTAGGAACCAAGCATTTGGGGGCTTTATACAGGATAAAGGACTACTGGTATCTGAAACCCGTGCCTTTTCTTTGTGTCAAAAATCTGGGTTTGTACATGCTGTAGTGGGCCTGTGTTTCACAATCATCAAGGTGGTCTTTGAAATTGTGTCCTTTATAAAGCAGTACTGTGGAAGTGATATCCCATGGAGTCTGATCTCTGGGAAAAATCATTTGGGGATACCTTCTGCATTTTTATATAAACAATATGCAGGTACGGTGTTTGCAGTCAGGGCGGGCCAGTTTTGAAAAGCTACCATCTAATTATTTATCCAGCTGTTTCCCAGTAATGCAAACTTCCTGAATCAGTCATGAATCTCCATTTTAGTGATTGTGTGTAAAGTGGGTAAAGCTTATTTTACTGGCTAAACAACAGCTGTGTATTTGTTTTAGGGCAAAGATCTGGGGTAGAGTGTCTGACTGTTCTGCTCTATATAATATCTAAATATTCCAGCATTCGTTCATACTCTTCAGATTGATTCCTCAGAGGTTAGCCATCTATTTATCTGTTGAGGGATCTGTGAGAAGTATTTTGATGTGTTTCTTGGGGCTTAGATCTATCTGCAAGAACTATGCTGCACAAATATATTGCCCGGCCATTTGTTGGGCTTTGAGTGGAGCTGAATTAAATGCAGGGGTTTTATAGATATCCAACAGCCTAGAAAGAGAGATGTGCAAAAGTGGCTCTAGATGATATAAAACCAGCAATAGTTCAACCTCGAGTTTGTGTGATGCAAATAACTTGTTACAGTTCTGGCTTGTTCCTTTTGTAATAAATGTCACTGATATGCCAGTTTCATTTTTATGCTATTTAGTTTTTCTGTAGTGAGTTAATCTAGTGCCTTCGCGTGTCACCATGTTGGCTTTTTGCTGTATAGGACAAGAAGCTGTGTAATTTTTGTATAATGCTCCATTGTGCCCTGGGTATAGACTAGCTCAAGTACATGAGCCTAAATAGAAGAAACTAATGAACTAGAAGAGTACTAACAGAGCATGTGTTAGGTTTCCTTTTAATTCTTTGTAGGAAAGAAGACTGCTGAAGTGTCTCTCTTCTGTTTCAGAGTTATTCCCTAGCATTGTAACTTTGTGTGCCTCGAATACTTTGTTAAAGAATTTGTCAGACAAGGTTGTGAGTAGTTAATTACATTCAGCCTAAACCACAACCTTTTATTGAGGTCTCATGGTATACTTTTTTATTCCATAACTGTCAGAATTCAAACACAGGTTTGTTGTAGGAAAGTGCTTAGAACATACATTTATAATAAATGCATTATATCCAGAAATTGGTGAAACAATGATGAGGTGTAAAGCGTAACAGGGGTCTTCTGTAAGATTGAGTTCACTATTTATATAGTATATCCATCATGCCCATACCTTTTAACAGAGTTTTTAATGGTATAAAGTAAAAGTTTAGAGGGAATCTGTTGACATGCTGGTGAGGAAGGTAGTGCCTGAAGTCCACCAAACTGCATCAGTCACATATTCAGAATATTAATAGTATCAGTAAAGAAATATCTCATTGCAACGTGGTTTGAGTTTGATGAGATCTTGCCAAGCAAAATAGCAGAGCTGAAATTATGGTCTTATCTCAGTTTTTCCCTTTGACTCCGGTTGGATCAGGGTTTTGTCCAAGGAAAATAAAGAGACTGCAGATCATGCGCTGTGTCGAATAGTCCTGGGACTGTGTTGGTACTAGATGGCAGAATGGTGTTGAGGTTTCACAAGGGCTAATCATGGGCGTCTCCCACGAATAATTTGAGGCCAACTGCAGTCCCATTTCATTCATCTCTGTAGTACCTAGATGCTGTTAGGACAGAAATAGCTTCTGATATTCTGTCTGTGCTGTCTTTGAAAATGAAATTTGAGAGAACAGACTTCTAGTAAATGAGCTGAATGAATGTATGCCAGCTCGTGTACAGTGAAAGGATGGTAGCTCTGTTCTTGCTTCGTCCATGCCATCCATTTTGTTCAGAACAATGCTGGCGCTGTTGTTTTGGCCTATGGAAATTCAAGTACAGTGTCTTTTAAACAAAAAAAAATTAAACTCTAACTGATCATTTTGGTTATGTTAATTTCCTCTTTCTTTTTTTCCAATCTTAAAAACGCAACAGATTGCCTCTTTCAGAAGAAAAGTTATTAATCAGAGGGTTGGAGTTTTTTTAATCTACTCCCCCCCCCTCCTCCCCTCCCCATCAAATACATTTCCATCTGCAAGGAATTTTCTTGTTTAAAAAAAAAAAAAAACAAACTGTGAGCCACAATGTCTAATTTTCAGTTGCCCATTGAGAGAAATGCACTGATAAAATCTGCCCAGACAGAATAAATTTGGAAATAAACTTTTGTTTCATTACCCTGAACCTTCCAGAGACTTTAGTGAACAGCAAACAAAAATGTTTGAGCTGCTCTCCTGTTCCACCCCACCTCAGCAGATGTGAGTCAGCATCCTGTCCATGCAGCATGATTCCCAAGTGTGAAGTACGAGCACTTTTTTTTCCATTAAATGCCAGAGCAGTGAGTTAACTTCATATTTCCATCCACAAAGCATATGAGTAAGAACCTTGGACGCAGTCCTTTGTAGCCTTCTAATCTATCACAATTGTGATAAAACTTGAAAATGTCATTTGCCATTTTTGAATGCCAGGAATGGTTTAAATTTAGAATTTATTAAAAAGCTTAAGACACTGGCTTATGCTGTGGCCTTTCAACAGCTGAAAGGCCCAATGTCCGTGTGTCTGTCTGTGTGTGGCCGTTTCTGGACTTTTTGTTTTCTTTTATAAAATGGGAACACTTAAAAATGTGCAGGAGTAGATTATGGCTAAAATGTGCAGTCAGCATGTTTTCAAACCAAAATTGATAACTAAGACATATGATGCTTTCCAGGGCCCTTTGGCTTTTCCCAGCCAACCATGTGTGAATAGGAGCACTGATGGAGGTCTGCCTCACATGAGCTAAGGACGTGAGGCTGTCGAGTCCATTATTTTATCATGAAAAATGGGGTGAAGAGGGAGAAAGGAATTTTGGATTTGATTCATCTTTTTAGATTCTGTAGCCGGGGGCTAAAAGGTCTTTTGCAACTTTCACACTTTATATGATTAATTTTATAGTATCTGTTGCAGTCCTTTGTTTCAAGTTGCTGTGAGGTGACTTTGGGTAGAAAGGAAAGTGTAGATGGGTTCTGGCAGGGGTCCAAGTCCTGCAAGTAGCTGCTGATCCAGTCTTTACTTTGTTTTTATCAAAAAAATGTGTGTGCAAATGTGAAAGAAGCTATTCATAATACTTGCAGTAAATGGAGAGACCCGAGCTGAAACTCCGCGCTTGTTCTGACCTCTCGATTAGAGCCACCTATTTGCTTCAAAACCTGTCATGCAACTCACCAGAAAAAATGACTAGTTATACATCATCTTTCTGTTTGCAGAAGAATATGCAGTGTATTGGATGTGCAATATGTAGAAACAGTTTTGCGTCTTCTAAGCTTCACCCAGTCAGTCTGGAAATAGTCCAAAACAAATGGTTACACAGCATAGCTATAGGATAGCTCGATATTTGAGCATTACAACGCAGGCTGTTCTAGCTGTCTCCTCTGTCTGTCCGTTTATAAGCTATGCTGACTCTTTTGTTTGGAAGACTTTATTATCTGGACATTACCTCCAGCTGTGCTGTTATTCTCCACCTGTGTTCGAATGGCATGTCCAGGCAGCTTTGGTTAACCAATCATGTATGTGAAACACAAATGGACGTTGTACCCAGGGGCTGAATTAAGTGATACAGACACGAATGTGCATTGGAGAATTGGGGAGGAGGACTCAAATTCTTTCATTTGTATCTTTTTACAAAGCATTCTAAGAAAAATATTGTAATTGTCCTACAAAAATGTAGTTGTTTGCTCTTTTAAACGGAGTAAGAAAATCAAATTCAAAATGATATTTTACTTGAGCCGGGCTATTGTGTCCTCACCCAAGCCCTTTGAAATTTCGGCCACCTCCCATTTGATTAAGTACACCTGGGCTGACCTTTTCAGTTCTGTTCAGATACATTCAGTGTCGAAGTGTGCCATGCTGTTTTTCTTATTTGTTACTCCAAATCTTTTTTTTTCCCCTGGCTTCTCTGTATCTCTTGCTAACACATCTTTTGTTTTACCTTGTAGCAGGCGGGCTTGCATTTCTAAACATTTTTCTTTGAGTGATGGAGACTGGCTTCTTGCAAGGGCAGTTTCTATAAGCTCTCATAGTAAGAGAAGATATTTAATATAACTTTAATGCTTAGTTAAGGGAATATAAATGCAGCTTGTTTGGCTTTTTTCTGTTGATGTGAGGAAACAAAGAGTACTTGCCCTTGCAGAGAGCAGTTTCAGAGACTTGGATGTTATCAGGGCATGGCAATTGTATGTCAGTTGGGTTAGAGCCCTGTCACAGGACACCCAGATAAGTCAGATGCTCCAGGTTTATCTCAAGAAGCTCAAGAGCCTCCAGTCCAGCCAGGCTCTGGGTTGTCTTTTGAATCACCAAGACCAAGCTGCAGGTGAGAATTGTGATCAGAGGAGGAACTGTGTCAATCCAAAGAACACAGGTTCAGGAGTATCCACTTTGAAAGAAGCAAGTGAGGAAAATGGGAGGGAGTTTAAAATGGAAGTTAGTAGCAGTAGGCAGGAGCAAGTGGACAAGTTACAAGATGCTGCCTGCATTGGAGAGAACATAGTGAGTAGCTGTATCTAGGAAGTAGCATCTGGAAGTCCTGCTTCCTGTACAACGTAAAAGGTTTTTCTCTGTCTGCATTGACAACCTCCTACAGGTTCTAAGCTGTAGTGTGCATTAGGTTCTGTTGACAGCCAAAGTGTCTAACCCTAGATACACACTTTGGCTTTTAACTTACAATAAATCTTAATGATTTCCCTGCATTCAGGCTGCAGTTGCATTTAACTGCATGGACTTGGAAAACTTTGCTTAAAACTAAACCTTTACTGATATGTAGTTCACTTAAAAGATAGGTTGGGAGTTTGAGCATACAAGTTGTCTAGGCACGCTAGTTAGAATTTGGCATGGATCTTCCAGTGATGATTTCAAAAAAAGTAGCACATCCGTAGTTCTTCCAGTGTCAAAAACCCCTTTCATCTTCTGAGCATCTGACCTGCTGAGGGAATGAAATATCCTGTTTTATTTTCCCACTTTTATGTTTGGAGTGATAGTTAAGTGACTATGGGTTAGATAGAAAATACAACTGCTTTATTAAGGAGCCTTAATTGAAAACACTCTGCTGAAGTGACAGGGCAGGCTTTAGTGAGTACAAGTTCATGTCAGTTTTAAAGCCTGTGTTCTGGAGCAACTTTTGTTGCAGAATAGTGTGTGACTGAACACAAGCACACAGACACACAAGTGAAGCAGAAAACAGAAGTAGCAAAGCCGGTTACAAACTAGACTTTGTGGAGGTGTATACATGCCTGTGTACACAAAGATCTGCATCACATCAAAAATTTGGGCTGTAATTGGTTGAGCTCTCTCCAAGGCCAGGACATGGCATATACTAAGTAATAAGAGCTGTTAAGCTTTGCTCCAGACAGTGCATACGCAATGTTTTGAGTGTTGGAGAGCATACTAGTACAAAGAGAACAGTAACGAGGATGCTTCTTTAACTCTTTCTCTTATGCCTTTGTAGGTGTGGATGAGGTCACCATCATCAACATCCTGACAAACCGCAGCAATGAACAGAGGCAGGATATTGCTTTTGCCTATCAGAGGAGAACCAAAAAGGTAGCAAAATATGAAGGAACACCGTGTATTAAATATTTTTCTTGTGGACAGATAGTTTTTTCAGGGCTTGCATGTTTCACAGTTAACTGAGTGTAAACTGGAGATAAGTATCATTTAGTTTATCTTTTCACCAAAATTAAAGATGTGTGTCCTTTGTCCATGCTGTCACAGTTCAGAACTAGTGGGACTTGCAAATTTGTGGAGTATGCACAACTGAGACTGAAATCTGTTGGAGACAGTGGTCTCCTAGCACCTCTAGAAATCACAGTGGATGATACATCAGCCAGCCAGCCACAGGATTCTCTGGTGAAATATGCTTAACGATAGTGAAAAGCAATTGACATGAAATGCTTCAGTTTGAGGAAAAGAGAAAATTGAGATACCTTAGTGGATTTTTTTTTTTTTTTTTGGTTAAGACAGCTCAGCATAAGGAATGTATTCTATTTCTGTTCATAGAGCTATCTTAAATGAGAAATTACTGCAATCAGTTGTGCTACAAACAACGCAGATGTGGAATAAAGTGATGTAATGAGTTGAACTATCACTTGGTATTATCCTGTCAGAAATACCTTTGGTACTGATCTGTTGAGGGAGAGAAATCTGTGTGTAGAATTCTGTGTAATGAGTCTTAGTATCTAGAAGGCAAGAGCTGTTGTCTTGACTCTTGGTTTTGAGAATCTTACCATAATTGAAGTTTTATGCCCACGAAAGAGAGGAAATCTGTATAGAGTTAGGATTATGATGAATGTATCTCTTTCAGGTTTGCCAGACCCCAAACGGTAGTCCTCCAATAGCAGCTCACAATGCTCATCTGAAACCAAATGTAAATCTAGAGTTAGATTTTGGAAATTGGACGGCTTTTATGCATGGCTGATACAGACACATGCAGAAGCACACACAAGTTGGATGCATGCATGTGGGCACGTGGTTGCACCCTGGTGGTCACGCCCTGTGGGCATGGGGAGAATCTTGTGTGTAAGTGGACCCTAGTAGTGAAATGCATCACTTAAAGCTTTGTTAAGTGTTTTGCATGACCACAAAAACACAGTCAAGAAAATACGCAACTTTTTTTTCATCCAAATTATTCTCTCTCAACTTTTTTATTTGTTGCAACCCAAGAGCAAACTGAATTTATCAAGTTTAACCAGTGCCAAAGAACAAAACAGTCTGTAGAAAAGGATGGAAATTTGCAGTAGAAACCACTCAGTGAAATAAACAAGTGAATGGCAAGAGAGGAGGAAGTGGGATATGAAAAGACGTGTAGGTATATCTTCTAGGAACAGTGTCTCATGGTTTTCTTCGGCAACAGTTTGTGCAGATTTCTTTGGCAATGTGTAGTGTTGTTCTAGGCTGCTCATTTCGTCTGCTGCAGGATTTCTCAATAGATCATTATGATTTTAAGAAGTCACAGGTCTACCTCTATTTTTATTCATTTTAGTTGAGCTGTATCTAATAGAAACTATTGGTAATCTTGAGGAACAGGCTTTGATCTATGCAATCTTTCCCCATCACCGGCATTAATGGAGCTACCAGGGAGTAATGAGGGTTCTGCATGTCATGTGTGTCTTTGGATGTGTCTGCCTGGTCCTAACTGCTGCTAATAATCTCTGACTTTGAAATGAATTGAATTTGAAATTAACTGCTAATATCCAGATACTCATTCAGAACGTGTATGAAAGCCTTTTGTCTTCACTATTTATAAATTAATGATATCTGTCAGTTATCTGCTTCCCACTTCTCTCTTAGAGCGCTCCTGGCCATGGCAGAGAATGGCGGAGTGAAGACCCTGCTTTCCTGGCAGGGGGAGAAGACCTTATTTCTCCAGAAGCCTGCTAATATGAGGGCAGGTGCTTGGTTCAGTTTGAGGTAGTGATTTGTGTTTCCTTCAGCCTTCATACCAAGGTGCAAAGATTGCAAAAACTTTCCTCAGCTATTTGGAATTCGTGGCATTGTCCTAAAATGTATTATACAGATATGCGATATCTTTGCTGCTTCAGCTGATGTCTGAAGAACCTGCTTTCACACAAATAAATGATGGAACGTTGTATCCAAAACTGAGTTTATTATACTGAAACATTTCTTAGACTAAAGCCAGCAGATGCCCAAAACCCCCATTTGCTGTCTTGGTCAATCCATGCAGTAAGTGCATAATACAGCATGAGTGTATATTAGTGCCCTGGATTAAATGGGTGACTAGAAACGAACTAAGTGCCTTGGCTCTTTATTCCTCTGGTACAAACTTTTCTGCAGTTTCACTGAAGTCACTTTCTCTCTACCCCTTTTCCCCTGCCCCTGAAGCTCACAAGTTGTTAGTGTAGAAACCAGCAATTGAAACACAGCAATTCTCTTCTGAAGGCTAGACTTCAGTTTAGGGAATACATTGGTCTGTGTGAACCCCAGACTTGGTCCCAGGGTTTTCAGCTTTGTCACTACACTGCAATGAAGCTGGTAATTAGCATTATTCAAACTACATCTGAAACTCATAAAAGAGGCCATGCCTCTGACTTTATTTGCTACAGATCTGTATACATCCTGTGACCGTACCTGACTGTGTCTTTCCTGAGGATTGACGTGACCATTAAGAATAGAGACTTTGGCTATACACTTCTGCTAGTTTCCTTGAATGCAGGGATAATTTTTCTGTGGTGAGGGATGATTTTTTTTCTCCTCAGCTAGCTGTTTGGGAACTGGGCCTGTACGGTGGAATAACTGTGTAGTCAGTTTTCCGATGTCTCAGCTAGTAAAGGGCTGGGATAATAGGAAAAACACAAATAATACAGTGCTACTGGGAAAACTATGGGAGTATGATGGAGACGTGCTGACCGCAGGGAGTCAAACTCAGATCTGTCTGTGCTTATTAGCTCCAATAAAATGTCTGTGCTTCAAGACTGGAGTGGAGCTGTGCAGATGTGTCTGCACCATGCTTCCCAGCACTTTGTCAGCCACCGGTGGATTTCTTCTTATTTTCAAAGGATGAGAAAAAATTCCTTTGCCCTAATTTCTTTCTTAGGCTTTCACAAAAGAAAAACTGTTTATGTTCTGTTTCCTTGTCAATTGTGTAAGAAACACCATTGCAGGCTTGGAGACTTAAAGCACTGCAGGCTAAATTCTCTGGAGATCAGAAGTGAGATTTTTTTTTTTCTTCCATCATCCCTCCTTTTTTACAGGAACTTTCTGCAGCACTCAAGTCTGCTCTGTCAGGTCATTTGGAAGCAGTGATCTTGGGCTTGCTGAAGACACCAGCACAGTATGATGCCTCTGAATTGAAAGCTGCCATGAAGGTAAATGAGCTTTGAAAATTAAGTATGTTAGTCTGATGTTGCTGTCTCAAGAATGAGTATGGGCTTCATATCCAAGGCTGCAGTTTTCAAAGATGTCCTGTTTGGGTTTTTTTGTGGTTTTTTGTTGTGGTTTGGTTTTTTTTTACTACAGGTTAAGTATCCATCTGCAAGGTATCCAAAATGAGAGAATTTTTGTAACTATGTGATTATTAAACTGTTAATTAAATCATCTCTTTAAGGAAAAAAGTAATTTTCATCAGGTCAGGAGTAACCGATAGGCTGCTTTGGCTTGTTGCTGCTTTGCTGGCTGCTCTTAAAAACAATATATGGGTTCACAGCACAAAAAAAACATGAAGAGAGGAGCTGTTAGCTGGAGCCATTAAATCCTCTGCTAGCATTTACAGGCTTGAACAGTAGTTTCCAGTTACTGGGTCATACAAGTGATCTTGAAAGAACATCCTGTGCCAGACCTGCCTCTGTATAGAACACAAGGAGGAGGGCGGGGCATCAAAAGTGGTCTTTGGAGAAACAGCGCAGCAGTGAGTCACTGTGTTCAGTCCCCTACAATCACAGGCAAGCATGGAATAGTTTGCTAGTTTAGAAGTATCCACTCTGCAGGCCACTAAAACAAGATTTTGAGAGGTGTTCATGCCAGTGCATTCACCTTTCTAAGCAAAGGTTTGGGAATTTCTAATTATCACCATCACTTAAATTCTGAATGTTAATTTTTTAAAAATAATTAAAATACAAGTATTAAAATATGTCTCTTGCAATTCAGACAAGACAAAAAAAAAATTAATTTCTCTAGGCTATGAAAAAAGAGTTAAAAAACAAATAAGCGAACAAAAACAGCCCCTCCACCATCTCCCCCCCAAAAAAAGCCCAAACCCAGAAAACCAACCCAGTATGGATATGGTAACTCTTCGATTGTGGGCCAAATCCCTTCTTTGAGTAATCGGCTGCTGCCCTCTTCTGGTTATAGTAGAGGCTAGCCATAGTCTGCTGTGAATCAGATTGTCTTGGGGGTTCTGGGGGTTTTTTTGATGTCTTACATCTGTTATGTTATATTTAGGATGAGCATAAACTTATATAGCATTTATGCTGTATTTACGCCCCGAGACTAAGTCACTACCTCAGAGTAGCCGCAAATGTAGAGTACTCTATTCACTCCATAGGTCAGCTATTCCCAACTCCCAAGCACCTAGTTTAAAGTTCTGAATTTGCCTGAGCTTGAGTTTTACTTGATACATAGAGCATAGTAAGCTATGACATGGAAATCAAAGTTGGATAAAGTTATCATTGAGGAGTTAATTAATTATTTTTTCTAGTACACATTCTTCCAAAATACTTGAAAAAAATTGGACAATCTTAAATTTTGATAGCCTTCATTTCTTCCCCAGATACCTGTTAGAACCACTCTGTGGAAACCTTTCCTAATTCTCTTAGTTGTGAGACAGTTTTATAAAATTGCTTGGGTTTAGTCCTCTCTCTCTCTTTTTTTTTTTTTTTTCTTCAATAGAGACACTTTTTCCAAGAAGGTAGTTTTCCACATAGTTACGTCCATTTTCCACATGTGAAAGACTGCAGCATCAGAGGTTTTCCCAAGATGTTACCCATCAGACTCCTCTTGGAGTCCTGTGGAAACCATGTTTGCCACATACAAAATTACATTCTGTTATGGATGGGCTTAACAAGCAGCATCCTAACAGGAGGCACATCAGTGTTTTTTCTGTCTGCTGGGAGATGATGAGGTTAGCTTTGGTAGGTAAGAAACAGAACAGAATGAAAAAATTACTAGTGGAATCTATTTTTTTAAAAAGTTTGGTTTCAAAATATTGAGGCATCTGGCTGCCAGGTGGCTTTACCAACTAGTAACCCAGACATCCTTAGTGGTCACTGGAGAGAGAAGCATCTTCAGCTCATCCCAGTTAGTCTTCTCCAGGAGCAAGAGTATTGTAGTAGTGTTAGTAATTTCAATTATTTTTTAATATGTTTATAAAATAATTGAACAAGGTTTAGAGCACATTGATCTAGCCACATTATTTTAGAGTATCTGAGTCGCTATAAGGTTTAATTGGTAGCTGATACATTTTTATGTTGTTCGTAATTTTGCTAATTTTTAAATTTTGCTAATTTGCTTTTGTTTGTAATTTTGCTAATACCCATATTATTTTTTAAATGGTAGCGATGCAGCTTAGTTCAAAGTACTGATTCTTCATTGACCTTGATCACAGAAATGGCTTTGAAATATTATATAAGACCTCTCAATTCATTCAGCTTTTTAAAAAAATATAAAATCTGAATATTAACCGTATTATACTAAATAAATTTTTATTTCTTAGTATAGCTAGTAGTAATGTTGCTTCATCTGTATTTGTGCATTGTGAAGTACATGGAAATATGGACAATACAAGAGGGGCTATTTGTTAGCTAGAAATTGAGAACATACTTAAGTCTTTGCTGACTTGGAGGCAAGGCCAAGGCTAATGATGGTGTCATCCTTGGCTTTGCAGTGGAGGAGTTGTATGGAGGGAGGTGGGGAGAGAAAGCAAGGAAGAGCAAGTTGATTACTGTCCATTTGCCTGCTAAGAATCAGATTTTCCTCCTGTGCTTTGAATGGACAGAAAACAGCCACGCATGGGCCATGATAAATTGATCTCGTCCATTTATGCTGGAGGGGAGGCCACTGGGTGTCACAGACACTCACAGCAAATGCACATTGCCCAGAGAGAATATCCACAGGCTCCCAAAGCTATTGGAGTAGCATTTGGCAACTAAAAATGTTCCATCTGGGGTTTCTCAGGTGCATTTAGCCAAAAATGTCCCTGAATGGTTGTGAAACTGTTAGAGTAGGAGAAAGGAGATGTCTGTAAAATACTTTTAAACCATTCGAGTGTACCTGTTCATTTCTAGCACCTAACTGAATCCTATTTGTGTTGCAGGGTCTGGGAACTGATGAAGACACACTCATTGAAATCATCTGCTCGCGAACTAATCAGGAGCTTAGTGAAATCAACAGAGTCTACAGGGAAAGTAAGTTTACTTTGAAAGTTTCAATGTACTGTGTTTTTACATTATTACTTGGATAAGTTCCCCTCAATGTGAATTTGAGTATGTGAGTTGTTTACACAACATCTGATTTGATTCTCTGGCCGTTGGACATAAGATACTGTTTTGTACTGGTGTCCTGGATGTTTCTGTGTGTTTATACAGTTTCATCTTGTTGCTTGGTAGCAAACAAATTGGAGAGCATTTACTACTCTTACAAGTTGTGTCCAAAAGAGTTTTTTTGTAAGCTACGTGCATTCTGTACATAGGGACAGAATTAATTACGTTAGATTTATGGATTCTGGGATCAATTATGTAATGGGTAGGTGTACCTGAAATCTACTGAAGCATGCTTGTAAGTTTATTTGATAGATCTGCCAGAAAAGACATGGAATAAAATTTCATAAAAGCATATATTCTGTTTTTCAACTTTTTCTGAAGCAGATTATCTGATTGAAGCTATAATTCTTAGTTGATTATAAGTAGATATAAGAGTGATCTAAGATCCATCCTCAAAAAATATTACTTTTCCTTTAATATTTCTTATATTGGCCGTGCTGTTTGGGTTTATTGCAATTCAGTAGGGCAGCTGTCCAGTGCCTGTTTGTTTCCCTCAGCTTCACAGTTGAGCTTCACCACAAATAGACTGAAATGCAGAAAATTGCTGTGTGCTAGTGCTTAGTAGTTGTCAAACAATTCTGGTAAGGTGCTGGATAAGTCAAAAAAGAAAAGCAAAATTGAAGTAGTTCTTAATGGCCGGTATCGAAAAAAATACATATTGGCAATTAAAGTGTTTAGACACCAGACCAGAATCCACACAGCATTCCTTTGATTTATCGTAACAGCTTTTTTCTGTTATTAAACTTGTAGTTGCAGTTGTCCGGTGATAAATCCGAGTGGAGAAGGTCCAAATGCTATGTTTATCACAAGCAAACTTGCACTGGCAGCTAAGAATGATCTAACGGGATGCTGAGCTGAAAACAGTATTCCCTTCCTTTTAATAGTCTTAGGCTTTCCTGTTCTTTCCATGACAGCATGGCAACTCTCATGACTAGCTTGGAGCAATGTTGTTTTTGTTGTATGCAAGCCTGCGTTTGTTTTCATTGTCTTCCAAGTGTGACTTAGATTGTAGCTGTTTTTTTATGTGCATAAAGCACAGTAATTAGCAGCTGTTCTTCTTACAAAGCAGTGTTTGTAGGACACCATTTCCTTGAAGAGAATTTTCTGTTTTCTAGTGTACAAGACAGAACTGGAAAAGGACATTATATCAGACACATCTGGTGACTTCCGCAAGCTAATGGTTGCCCTGGCCAAGGTAGATCTGTTCATATTTTTCCACTTTTCCTAATGTGCCTTCCCTTTGGTAGCTGACTGATGGCTGCCAGTAAAGCAACTGGATTTCTGATTCACTTTTAAGTTGCCTTTTATTTTGACTGTCTTTTGGGGAAAAAAATATTCAAATGTTGAAGGGCAAAATATTTTGACAGAAGTGCAGCATTCATATCATCAGCTTCACAATGGGGATGGAGCATACTGTTAATTATTTAGCAAATTCAGATTAAAAAAATCAAAGAGAAAGGAATATGTGTATAGCAGACTGCTTACTGTCTGTTAAACTTCTAAATACTGCTATCCTTGTTTGAAGGGCAAAAGGTGTGAAGATACTTCTGTGATTGACTATGAGCTGATTGACCTAGATGCTAGGGTAAGTGGTGTTAATGACCATTAAATGTCGAGGGTTGATCACACTTTGGGGGATATTGAAAGTAGAAATGTCATGGGAGTGAGAAGCATTTATGAAAGTAGGTGTGTGTATTTCAGATTGTCTGGGACAGTAATGTTCGCATGCTATCAACGTATCTGCCACTTGCAATCCTGGTATCCTCATTTATCAGTTTTCACGGGCTACTTATCCACTCATACCTATACAGAAGCTCTCTGGTATTTCCCTTAGACATATTGAGACAGAGAGCTTACCAAAAGGAAACACATACATTATGAGCAATGATTGCAACCACATAACTGGGTAAGATTGAGAGAAGTATCATGGAACTTAGCGGCTGCTAATGCTTATTTATTACATCTGTATCTGTCTTACTACATCTGTATCTGTCAAAAGCAGGTTTGCTGAGGTAAACAGAGCTAAATACAGAGTAAAACCTGTACATAGAGATAAAAACAAACTAATTAGTCTTAGTTTCAGATTAGATCCATAGATCTTGTCCTAGTGATCTGCCCAACCATGTGTCCTTTTGTGTTTCTCCCACTGACAGAGTTCCAGTAGTGCTTGTTTTCCAGTAAGGGAATTGTTTACGTTTGCGATGGCTTCTTGGGTAACTCCTGATTTTCATTTTGCTTTTAATCCTAATCCCAGGAGCTCTATGATGCTGGTGTGAAGAGAAAGGGAACTGATGTACCCAAGTGGATCAACATTATGACTGAAAGAAGTGTTCCCCACCTGCAGAAAGGTACTATTCAAGAGACAGATTTATTTTTTTCTTGTAAGAGAAACTTATACTGAAGTGGTAACTCTCTTGTCCCAGATATAGTTGAAATGAGTGTGAGAAGCACTCACAAAACATAGATGTCATAAATTTTAATTCATGTCCAAGCCGTCAGTTTTTTCAGAAATAGTTATTTCTGTGGATGCATTAATCTCACAGTTTGAATGTGTGTAGGGCTCTTTTTTGCAGAGATGTAACTGCTCAGTTATGTGTCATACACTGAGAACAAAAACATTACAAATCTAGAAAACGTAACTGCAGGAGACCTTCAGAAATCCTTTAGCTTTTCCATGTGTCCTAGGGTAGGTAGCCTAGCTATATCATGTGTTCAGATGACAGTGAAGACTCAAAGGCAGCTGTGATATTGCTGTAAGAAGCACATGGAAAAGACATTTGAAGACTTGTCAGGGCCTAAATCACTGTTGTTTAAAAAAATACTAGTACGGGATTGAGATGGTATTTTGCCAGATTTTGGAGGTGGTCAAGGAAAACAAAAAGGCCATAACATGGGAACTTTACTAACAGCTGACAAATGTAGGCTGTACTTGAGACAAACTTCTCAGAAGGACTTGGACAGATATTTTTTAATCATGTGTCTCTGCAGTGCTGTCTCTGGTTTTGATTTGGGTGGTTACTTTTACCACTTCCTGGTTTGGTTTTGATTTCACCTGTTTTCTTTGTTGTGATAGTGTTTGAGAGGTACAAGAGCTACAGCCCATATGACATGTTGGAGAGCATCAAGAAGGAGGTTAAGGGAGATTTGGAGAATGCCTTCCTTAATCTTGGTGAGTTACCCTTAAGTAAAGACTATCTTTAGATAGGAGCTTTCCAGTGCTCTTGCAGGGTATCGTGATAAGGATAGGGCTGGCTTCCTCTGTGGCTGGATGAGAAATCAACTGGACATTGTGGCATAATTTGATCTACTAGTGTATTTTAGGATATTATGGGTATTGAGAAGTAGCATACTTTTGCTCTCTGCAAAATATAAACCTTGCTTTCCAGGTGAAAATAACAATCCATGTGTTTTGTGATCTGTTGTTAGTTCCACTTTTGTTTGATATAGAGGCTTAATGTTTGTTTCCCCAAACCAACAAAAAAGTTGGAACTATGGCTGAACACATTCAATATAGTATTCAATATAGACATAGGTTGGAGAGAGAACAGTGTGTGTGAGAGGAGAAGACAGGCTGTGGACAATGTTAAAGGCTAATAAAAGAGCTGATTTGGCACTGAATTCTCTGAAGTGGGGAGGCAGGGTGTAAGGCTGGTACTGTGACATGAGATGAAGATGACAAGGATGTCACCAAGTTTAAGAGGAAATTCTTTAAGAGGAAAATCCATTTCAGACTAAAGGTGAACTGAGAGCTCTGTAACGTAAATGGAGAATAAACAGAGCTCAGCCTTGAAAGGGAGACTTCATGCTCATGGATTAGCATACAATGAGTGTTTTCAGAAAAGAGGTTGCTTCTGGAAGTGGAAGAATGGATTGTGGTGTGTGCAGAGGAGGGCTAGCATTCTGAAATGATACTAGCAATGGAGGGAAATACTTTCTTAGATTGTAAGCATTTGTGGTTCTACCACAAGTTTAGCCAAACAACTTCTAAGTAACAAATCAAGTAAAAATAATTTCTCTGTGTCCCCTTCTGGCGAAACCTTTGCTGAAAACCTTATTTTGACTACTTATCATGCTTTAAAAATGGCTCCAAGATTATGTGTTCTCCTATTCCATGCATGAGCACGATGTTTAACTATTCTTCTCTCTCTTCAGTCCAGTGCATTCAGAACAAGCAGCTGTATTTTGCAGACAGACTGTATGATTCCATGAAGGTAGGGAAGACTGTTCTTTGTTTTTACTCATTTTTATCATGCCATTTTTTCATCGGATTTTAATTCCTTAGGTGCTTTTATTCATATGATGTGTGACTGGTATTTAGATAATTTAACAATGACTTAGTATTGTTCAAAAGCATTCTTTAATGGTTAGAAGCATAGACCATCTATTCAGATGCATCTGGCATAAGGAAATAATAGGGAGGGGTCTCAATACTAATGATCTGTATTAGATCAGTTGATTATAATTAGGAAAGTTAGACACATCTTTTGCAGGTAACCAAGAGCTGATAGCAGTAAAGGCTGTTTATTGAAGTGCCAAAATAAGACACTAAATTGGCCTCAAACATTTTCTCTAGAAAAGGGCTGAAAGAGAAGTGCCTGTGACAGGCATTAGGCAATACCAGGAAGACCTCCTGGTGAACCAGAACTGCTGCTTACAGTCAGTAAGTAGCTAGATTTGTGACTGGCAGTTGGTCAGACACTGCTGATGAGAAACGTATGTTCATGCCCAAATTCCTGGATCTTGATAATGACTTTAGTTAGAAGATTTAATGCATTGTATCTTTTATGGCTACATTTCAGTTGCCTGTAGTTTGCTCTCTTACCATGAGGTATGGTGGCCCCTGACACGTTTCAGCTGTTGCAGTTCTAAATGTGTGTCTGCTTATAGGGCAAGGGAACCCGCGACAAGGTTCTGATCAGGATTATGGTCTCCCGCTGTGAGGTTGACATGCTGAAAATTAAGAGTGAATTCAAGAGGAAATACGGAAAATCTCTCTATTATTTCATCCAGGTAAGTTTTTCAGCTTTCTTTTTATATCAGTTGTAGGGGCCTTTGCAGCAGCCTTCATTGGTTTAATCATACCATTGGAATTCATGGGAGGTGTTCTAGAGGCTGCAGTGAGAATAATATGTTATTATCCATGTACTATTGAAAAACCCACCTTTAACTTTACAACTGGTAGACCCGGCAGCCTCTTGAAAGTGTATGTAAGCTTTGTGCAATCAGCTGATGTGTTAGGAAGGAAAATTCTTTCTACCTGTCCCTTTACTCAGGCCAAAAGAAAACAACAAAAAAAGAATTGCTCTACGATTGCTGAATGAAAATAGAGCATCTAAATTGCTGCTCTCTTTCATTTCAGTGCCTAAGCAGTAGGCTTTTTAGCTAGAGTGATTTTTTTCCGTTTCTGTGATGGGGCAGGAGCTATACATGCTAGGTTTTATTTAACTCGGGGCATAGGTAAAGAGCTTGTGCATCCGTTTATAAAACTAGTCTTCTAGCCACCCCCACATCAGCATCTCATACATTTTTCTTTGTGTAGATGAAGTTCAGTCAAAATCTTACGCCAGAATATTTTCCGAAAGTTGTCCATTTTAGATTAAAAGCAAATTTTCAAAATAGTGAACTTGATGTATGATTTTTACAGTAATCGGTGAGAAGGAACAGAATTGAGTCCTTCAGCTTTTCTTTGTTGTGTTACTCTTTTTCATAGCAAAATGTCTCTCCCTTGGCCTTGCATTTGTATTGCATGAATGATAAATCATTTCAGTTCACACGTAAGTAAAACTCAGTCTAGATAGTGTCCTCCAGGCTGACAGGGCTTCAGCTGTGAAACATAGTGTATCCCACAGGTTTAGAATATGATGCATGTACTTTTCACATTTTTTGACTGTTTCCTCATATGTATTTTCTATTTTTCTTCCCTTGCTTTACAGCAAGACACGAAAGGTGATTACCAGAGGG